TTATCAGTTTTTATTAAAAGACTAGCTGTAGCCTGCGACTCCGTGCGTGTGTATTAAAAAAAAGCTTATAAAGTAGCCTATGTGTTCTTTAAGACTATGTTCTACATCTATGCCAAATTTCATCAAGATCAGTTTAAATAAATAATAAAAAAGTCAAATCATTTTTGAAGATTAATACGGAACTCTTCTATTCTTGCCTACAAAGCCGTGGCGGTTCAATAGAAACGTGTTAAATAACTGACAATATTGTATTCGTAGTAAAGTGTGTCGCTCCCGGTCTCGTTTGTTAAATTTGGCTTTTCTTTTTTTGTCTCGTCTGTCAACGGGTAATGTCGAACGCGAGAGGCCGTCACGTAAATAAGTGTAAGCCTGTACTCATTGCGAAGCTGACAATCACAATGGAGACAAGTGTTCGATTTAACCCTTTTATTTACAGTTTAAAATAATACAGTTGGTATTTGTGGCATTCAGTGTGCGACAAATCAGTTTGATGTCTGTTAAAGTGTTTGTTTTCGTATAATATAATATATTTGAAAGACTATAGATTCTTTCTTAAAAATAGGTATATGATATCTGGATTAAAATCTTTTGATTCGCCCTATATCAGTGACCAATAAAAATAATCTATAAATATAAATAAAATATTAGTGTCTGTTTACAATATTGAAATAACAGTTTTCTACTACATGTATCTGAATACATACGATACGTACACTATAATAACATTTGTTACAATTTTTGTCTATCTGTTGGTTCTGGCTAATCTCTGAAAAGGCTGGACCGATTTTGACGAGACTTTTATTCACAGGTAGCTGATGTAGTACGGAGTAACTTAGGCTGCGTTTTTTTCAGATTTTTTTTTATAAATAAAGTAATGTTGCAATGTCCAAGTACCAGTATTTCATGTGGACGAAGTTGCGAGCCCACCTAGTTATAATGTCAGTCTAGAAATTCGAAATTAGAAAACAAAATCAAATGTTATTGAATAACTGTATAAATCCGATAACCATCCCAATAATTTCATCAACCTAAATCTGGATTACGAAAATATACAGTTCACTATTGTTTACCGATAAAAATAGATGGAGCCGTGTACGTGACGAATCTAAACTGGTCGGGATATTGCTGGGATAATCCATTTTACAATTAAATTGAATACATAGCCAGTTTGTTACGGATCGGATATTCTAATAAAAAAAAACTTTAGCTTAATAAAATATAGAAAAGGTGTATTTTTATTAACTTAAATTAATTTAAAATTTCTTTCAGCGAATTAATGATATGTTCTAATGTCTAATGGATCCGATTCATCATTGTTAAATCAAGCGAATATTGGGTTACTTCGCTCTAGACTGGGATACATCTGTAAAGTTGCAGGTTAACCTTCAGTGTTAAACAAACGCTGTAAACAAAACAAAGTACGAGTAAGAATGCAAGTATTTAGTCTGTTGTTATTTAACGACCAATATCTTATTATAATATTTACAACATGTCATGTCTGTTTTTCTCTTAAAACAGTTGTGTTAAAATTAATCACCCGACAAGATATATTGGTTAACATTAATAAAAGATTATAATAACAAATATCTTGATCTGGCGCACATATTTACTGTTATGTGGGTAGTGCTGCACACGCTTGAGATTGTGTTCCTAGCAAATTGTTTGTCTGTCAATCAATACCATTGTCCTGTCGGAGTGATTGACTCCCTTGTTAATGCAATTACTTAGAGCAGGTAAAACTAACTTAGATTTTTCATAGATTAAATATGTCCCCTCTTCTGCCTCCTCGTCTTATCTTTTCCTATTTGTGGGTCGGGGTAGAGAGCTAGAATCGATCTCATACACACATATGTGAAAACATGGAATTACTTTTTACGCCTTTTTTGTGTGGTTGTAATAATGCATGAGTCGAGTCGAAATGAGCGATTCATTCGCGTGGACTCTACCACTACATCTTACTAATATTAAAATACGAAAGTTTGTATATCTTTATATATATAATTCTTCTGTGAGTGTGTACGAGTATGTCACTGAACTTCTCTCAAATGACTGGACCGATTTTGATGAAATTTTTTGTGTGTGTTCAAGGGGATCTGGGAATGGTTTAGATTCACAATTTTCATCAAATATTAACTTCATATTAATTTATTCAAATTAAAGACGTGTAGACAGGACAACGTCTGTCGGATCCGCTAGTGTCCATATACAGAATAGCTTTACGGATCTCGGTGAAAATTGGCATAAATTTAGAGCATAGTCTGTACAAACATATACGCTACTAATAAATTTAAGGTGACAGCTAGTAATTTATAAATCATGCCTAATCTTCAATACCTTAATTGCATAATTCTGCAGATTTAACGCAAGAACCTTTCCTTATAAAGTTAAAATATAAATATAAATAAAATATGCACTAAAATAAAGCATGCAATCAGTGTCGAAATGATATCGACAAGGTATTGCCTAATCAGACGCTTCCATCAAGTGATACGGTACTGATAATGTTGTAGCAAGCTTTCAATATGTAGCCCTCCATACATTGATATACACGCTCCATTTGTTTTAGCTTTGTTTTGTGTTTCCACTGACAAAACATTTGCATAACAATTTGCCGTCTCTCTCATTATCTTAAAACGGTGACAATATCCACACAAATTAATAAAATTAGTGTGTCCGTATGAAAAATACAAAACATATATCGTACACATGATGTGTTTGGGTTGCTGATAACTAAAGATAATTTTTTGTTGTTTGTTGTCTATTCGCAAGACCGCGTTTGTTGCGGGTATTCTGAGGAACAGGCAGACCGATTTTGACAGGACTTGTATAAAAGTAATCTATAATATGCCCGCGTGCATTACCTACCTTCCCAACAAAGTCGCGGTCAACCGCTAGTTTTTTAGAGCAGTGTTACGGCAGTCGAATTTCCCGTGGTACGTTTTGTTATATCATTTCGGTCATGTTACATGTGTTTGTATGGACTACGATTAGCTATTTATCATTTTTACGAAGATGTTTATTACATCAGCACATACTATAAATCTATTTGTATTTTGTTTGTCATTTAATTTTGCAAGTCTTTCTAAGTCTCCAAATAATTAAAAATACTTCAATAATTTAAAAGTCATAGTTAACTATCCGTCGCGCGCGACTTCGTCCGCGCGATATAAGCATTTACTTACCAATGTATTCTTCAAAATATGTTCTACATCTACAGAAAATTTCAGCGTAATCCGTCAAGCTGTTCTAGAGATACGTTATAACAAATATCCATCTATCTAAACTTTTATCTTTGTAATATTACGAAGACAAGTAAGTTTTGGATCTAATATGTTTTAAACTTTTCACTTTCGTTGAACATCATTGATTACAAATGACGTTAGAAAATTGGCAACAATATTAGTTTCAATGTCTATATCTCTAATGATCTCATAGTAAGACTTTTATGTAGGAAACTGAAACATTAATTGAGTAATAACCTTACCAGTGAGTCATACGTTAATTATACTGGAAACATTCGTAGGAAATCGAATGACGAATATTAAAAAATACATTGTAAACATATCAACGCAATATAAAACACGCAAAATATACAGTAAGCAAGGTCTTCTAACAAAAGTTTTTTTTTTTTTATAATTAAACGAGTTAGAGACATTGTATGATTATGCCATCTCTATTATCTACATGTATAAAAATCAATTGCTGTTCGTTAGTCTCGCTAAGATTCTAAAACGGCTGAACGGATTTATCTTATCTTGGTCTTGAAATGTAAGTGGAGGCCTAGATTCCTTAGTTTAAAAGGTAAAAAATTCGAATAATTGCCGGTAAGACCCTTTAGGAAACCTTTTTTAAGCCCGCGCGAACGGAGTCGTGGGCTGGCAGCTAGTTAGCAAAATTTTTATTACATGTTTCGCTAATGGAAACTCACAAAAGGAACAATAACGCTGTAATTTTAGGAACGTGTTGACGTAAATACTATTGATTATATGAATACTTACTGTCTGTTAGTGTTGTAAAATATATTTAAATAGCTTCCTCGAAAATTGGTCGAACCGTTACTATTTTTAAAACATTGATATCTTTGATTTTTTTTCCTAATATCTTTTAGACTTGGTAGAGTTAGCTAGTTAGTTTTACTTAGCTAAACTTACAAGAAAATACACCGTTTTCATTAGTAAAACTATAAGCAAAATAAAAAAAAAACTATATCAGACCTATTATAGGTATCATAATATTTTAAGAATAAAGATTTATTTAATGAGACAACGTAAGTAACTGAAGTCCAACAGTCGAATTGTACAGTTAAAACTTTAGTAAGTTTTAACTGTACACTAGTGTGTAGGGAAAATTTTAACTGTCAGTTCAAATGAACAGCTCTCAGTTTATCCTACGTATTTCAATTGTATAGGTAACTGTACAGTTTAACTGTGCAGTTAAGACTGAAGATGTGTAGCACGTAGGGTTATAAAAACTTTGGCTATGCTTTCGCTTTCCAAAAAATATTTTACTTAAGAAACTTACAATATGAGTCATTTCATTTATTAATGAGTCATTAAAATGTACTAAACTACTGAATTTTAAAACATAAGAAAGAGGTTTTGAGAATTATTCAATTACTTATTGTCAAGATACTTTTACTCGTATTTTACAAGTGAATAAATAAGGGACTGGCATATTCCTTCTGAAATATTTATTTGTTTATTTTTTACGTGGTTTGGTTATTTAAGAAAATTAGAGAAACAACGACCTCACATTAGTTTTATTTCTAACTTATTAAGATGAATAAAATTGAATATATTATAAAGTAAAATATCATATCGATTTGGATTGTTTATAATTTAGATTAAGTCTAAGTCTCTAGTAATTTATTAAATAATAGGGTTTTACGGAATTTATTGTAGGTACTTACATTTTTTATTTGTAACTGTTCAAAACATAACAACAAAGTGCAGAAAAAACAGGCAACAGCCCTATTTAAATATTAATGAATGACATCTGACCTGTTGATCAAACCGAAGCGTTTCTGGATCCCGAGAACTGTTGAGATGTTATTATGAATTTTTAACAACTTCATACATTTTTCACGGCGATCGTATTAAATAACACATTATAACACAAACTGTTTTACATTAACACATTCGATTTGGTATTTTTAATTTGAAAAAATTATAGAACTGCTGAAAAATTTAAGAATGGCTACAATTTAGGAAGGTATTTTTTCTCGTTTTTCGTGGTATTTGCGTCGAAGGAACAATAAAGACGCGCGCTCGGGACGAATGAGCCGCCCAACTGACGGGCGGGCGGGAACAAAAAGTCTCACGTGGCCCGGCTCGCCTGGGCTGCGCAAACCCGCCTGTTGCCGGGCCTTAGCTGCGTCTGGTATGCTATCACTGAATACAACTCACGCGTTTTTATTTTATGATTGTTGTGTAAAATTAATTTAATCGTGCAACTATTTATATTATTAAACAAAGCAAAACTTTATTATTCATTTGTGTCAATCCTTACTAATATTATAAATACGAAAGTAACTCTGTCTGTCTGTCTATCCTTCTTTCACGCAATAACTACTGAATCGATTTAAATGAAATTTGTTACACATATAGTCTAGAGCCTGGGAAAGTACATAATTTTAACGCGAAAAAGAGGTTATAAAGGGTTGAAAAGGGGGTTGGAAATTTATATAAAAGTATCGTCATTTTTACTGATTAGAAGCTTGAAACTTTTTTTTAGGCTCTTAATTTGATATAAATAAATATGATATTAAATTTTTGTAAGCCCTCGAGGGTGCAAAATAACAATAGGGAATAGGGGTTGAAAGTTTGTATTGTGGTGTGAGGTTTATGTGAATGTTTTTTATTTAAATATGTTTTGTCGTTCCGTACTATAAATGTTAGTAAAATAGGTAACCTATGTAATTAAAATGCTACTCAAAGACAGAATTTTAAGGGGACGAAGTTGCGGGCACAGCTAGTTTACAATAATTTAAAAAATTACGGAGAATCATAAAAGACGGCTTCACTAATGCGTACTAATCCAGTGAGAACAACTACTATTTTCAAACCGAAAGTTTTGTTTGTTGCTTTGAACAAAGGATTATTGATTAAATTGTTAGTAATATTGGATAAAATCGGAATCGTGTATTCATTATCGATACATAAATACTCGAAAAGAAATATAATTGGTCGAAAAGTTTTTCGAACATTTTTAAATTTTAACAAAGGAATAATTCTTTCTGTTCTTAAATCTGTCAAATAAAAACATCTTTTATAAGAAGTAACAACATTTTATTCTTATATTATAACATAGATAATTATTTAAAATATTAGGCATATCTTTTATTTTATAATTAATAAAATAAGAGAACATTCAGGATGGTGTAAGTACAGTTTTTAAACTTTTCCGTGATTTAGCGAAATTTCGAAGCAAAAATTTAAAGTAAAAATGATTTGGCGGTAGTCATGTGGATTTCAGTATGTTAACTAGTCATAGAATGTATGAGTGATATTGCTGATTGTCTAATCACAATGCTAGAAATTATCTAATTCATCTTGTTCATACTTATGCGAGAGAGCGAGCGCAGTTGCAAAATATTTTCAAAAGCTCAAACATATGGTGTTCATATTTAAGCGTGGGCGTGAATCCAATCGCGGGCGCAAGTGCGGGTGTGGATGAACTAATGACACCCGCGACAATTTCAAACATGTGATGTTACTAGCTGTTGCCCGCTACTCAATATGAGCGAAATTAAAAGAAAAAAAAGCCTATGTGTCCTTCCAGACTATGTTCTACATCAATGCCAAAAATCATGCAGCTGTACTTGAGATATATTCTAAAAACCCATCCATCTAAGCATTCACATCAATAATATTAGTAAAGTATTTGCCTTCATACAAAAGCTTTGGGCCTAATGTGTACACGCGCCCACGCCTAAATATGAACGAGCACTAAGAAAGAAATAAAGTAGGATGGACTTGAGGCTATTTAAAAAAATACGATCACGAAATTCAATATAGAGACTTCGTCAGGGGCAACACACCATAATTTATTTATATATTTAGCTTTGGATCACCGGAAGAACCGCGTCTGACAGGGAAGGAGAAACTGAAATTTTTCTTGGCCGTGCATTGGAGAGGAATATGCTGCGTGGTGATCCCTCTCATTGCTCTACCGATTATCTTACCACCGCCAATAGAGGTATAAGATTAATTCATTTCTTTAAGATATAAAAATATTTTAAGTATCTTAACGTAACTGTACAATTAAACAAAGCATGTACAATGTAGTCCTAATTAGTGGTTAAACCCCGGAGAGAGCAGATCCTTATAATATTATAACTGTTATAAGTTTTTACTCAAATAAAACGTGAGTGCTTGTACCTTTGCCACAGGTTCATGCTTTTGAGTTTGGCAACATTTTAGTAGAGAACTTTTTTTTTTAAACCTGCCTTAGCGACGGTCAATCATAATGTTTATAATTTACAAGTTTCTTTGTTTTTTATAGGACTACGAATGGTGTGCATTCACCCTAGTCGTTATGGCCTGCTTTTGGGTAACTGAGTGTATTCCATTGCCGATTACGTCATTCTTGCCAATCATCATATTTCCTATAACCGGAGTCAATAGCACGAGTGCAACTTGTGCAGCGTATATCAGTGTAAGTATAATATATTTTTAGACATTATTAATAAAAAACTTTAAGCGTGAATGGCGCGCTTTCGTTACCAAGTCAAGCGTCAAATTGATTAGTTGAGGGGACATAAACGTTGATATTTTAATAAGGCTGGTTTTGCTCCGGTACACCGGTACAGTGTCGGATTTCCTTCCTAATAATATGTAAATGCTGTTTATCAATGTATATAATAAGTAGTCAACTCCTACTAGGCTCTGTACTCCTAACAATGGTGGCACATGCTATGTAATTTTTTAAATAAAAAAGTTTTCTTTTCTATTTTCATGACTTTATAGGACAGTTTATTGATGTTCCTGGGAAGTCTTGTATTAGCCTCTTGTGTTGAGCAGTCGGGTCTTCACGTGCGTCTTGCTTACTTTGCAGTTCGGACCATTGGCTTTACTCATATAAGGTGAAATCAACTGTTTTCTTAATATTACTTTGTCTTATTTTACGTCCAAAACGATGGACACGGCGTAATAAATTGATGGAGAAATAAGTAAAAGTAATATATAATTTGTGATATTGTATTATTAACGTTATGAAGAAAATACACAACATAACACATCTAACGGCCCGCCTAGTGTTTTTAGTTTGAATAGATACGATTTTTTTTCATAATTCTGAACTGAAATCGAAATTTAAAAAAAAGAAACCAAAGGGTGGACCAATAGCTTCAAAACTGCATAAAAACTTATTGCTTCACCTAGCATTTATTTTTGGCCAGGAAGTATTAAATCTTAAAACACTAGATGAGCCGAAAGATGTCCGAGAGTATATTTCCATAATGTAAAAAAAAAACATTCCAGGCTTCTTCTTTCAATGTCCCTTGTTACTATGTTTGTTTCGATGTGGATAACAAATACTGCAGCAGTAACGATGATGGTACCCATTAATTTTGCCGTATTAAAAGTATTTGAAGAAGTAAGTATCTTCGTTTTAAATTATTTCGTTGGCAATTTGCAAGAAATGTTTATTACGTGCCATTGTTCAATTTGACATTTCTGCTTCGTTGTAACCTGCCTGCCATGAGGCCGTATCGCGAGAATAATTAGCGTAGCCGGCAGCTACTGCGGTGTGTGGTGTGACTGCGAAGTTGTTTAACCCTAGCCTGAGCGTGGCTAGGTCTTCGATAGAGCAACCGTATTCACTGGGTTTGCTGAAATACCGATGCATTTTGGATACACCGGAAATGAGGGCCACAACATAATATTGACTTATAATTCTAGCCATTTATTTTTTGCAGCAAAAATTGATAACGATCTTTGAATACACTGCAGACGGCGAAAGGATTGCATCTGACATAACTACATGCTATTTTTGTGCCGCTACCTTCTCAGCGACAATAGGTTAGGATTTAATTTTTTTTATAGAATATAGTACTTTATCCGAAAAACTTCTTTACATAAAGATGGCAAAGTCGGCGACGGGCAAGATGACGAGATATGCCCAGACATAATTCCATTATTAGTAGGGTACGAAATATATTAGGTAAGGTACCATCTTTCGACCATAGCACAACTTAAAATCAAGTGTTATTATTTCTTTACTCAAGGTGAAAATTATTCATCATAGTTCATTATAATAAGATACCTTTGAAGATTTTAGTTGTTATAATGTTTACTATATTTCTCAATTAAGTTATCCTAGCGCCTTAATACGCAATAATTAGTCAAGATGTTTTAATATTCCCAGGCGGTCTTGGCACACTTGTTGGTACCGCAACGAATTTAGTCATGAAAGGACTTTTGGTGAAGTAAGACATTTTTATTTTTAATTTATTTTTCAATTATATCATGTAAGAAATATATCAGAGTTCATATTTTTTGGAAAACGAAGACATCAAATATAAAATGTATTGTAGTCAAACCTCACTCTGCATTATCTCACAAAGAACTAAAACTTCAAATCTGTCATGAAAAAAGCATTTAGGGATGGGCCTATATACTGGCCACTTGCCCGCAATCCTTTAACAACAAACAATTCTCCATTGGGGAGAAAAACTGCCTTTTGATCACCATAGATGTCAGGAGCCCCGAGGAGGCAGGAGGATACCAAGATCGTCGGTGGCTCAGGGGTCAAGCACTCGACTTGCAATCTGCAGGTTCTGGGTTCGAATCCCGCCATGTACCAATGTGTTTTCCGATTTACATATGTACATTTATCCGACGTTCTTACGGTGAAGGAAAACATCGTGATGCTACCTGCTCATATAATAATTAAAAAAAATTACAGATCCTTTCCATTGGTCCCGGAATATTTGTCGTTCCCGAAGTTTTCGGCATTTACCATTCCAATGATGATTTGTTTGCAAGCTACCACATTGATATGCATGAATGTATTTTTTCTCGGTTGGTTAAGGTAAGTAATGCTTCAATAGAGGATACATTAAATAAGAATTCACTTTGAAAAAAAAATATTTAATTGCAGACCAACAAGCGCAGCCGCGAAACGATCATATGTTACCCCTCAGGGCCAAGCGGCTGCGAAAGCGGCTGTTGATGCTAGCTGGAAAAAATTGGGGGGCATAACGTTTTGGGAATATGTAAGTTAAATTTTAAAGTTTTTATAGGATCTAGGTCATAAATTTAAAGTGCAGACCTCAGCATATTTTTGCATAAAAAACTATGTATAAGTAAACAAAATCAATCTTCCTGAATAGAGTTCGAATTAATGTAACTATAGCACAATGTATCTTAAGAGGTAATAACGTATCCTATTCTTCAAAAGTTGGGTTACTGTTTTTTATGATTATGATTTGTTACAAATTTGTAATAGTATAGACACAAGGTGGCACTAAAGTATTTTACTTTATTGTTTGATATGTACGATCATAGTGATGAATGCAGTAGGTTCAGACGTTGTCAAACAACATTTAGTACGCGACTTGAACAATTGTAGAAGTAAATGTATGGCGTATTCTAATAAATAATAAATAATGGTACATCACACGGCAAAGATTTGTCTTGTCTGGCGTCAGATCCAAAAGATTAGAAACAATTAAAATAATTTATGGCCAAGTAACAGTAACAATCTTAGTAACGTTATAATGTTTAGATGGATGCAAGGATGGATGGAATTTGTTGGAAGGTATATCAGGAACGGCTCAACGGATCTTAATGAAATTTGGCATAGATATACAACTTAATCTTGAAGAACACATTGGCTAATAAGTTTTAAATTCTGTGTGGACGGAGTCGCGGGTCACACCTATTAGATAATAAACGAAATTGTTTAATTTTCTTCATTTTCAGATGGTTATTCTTTTATTTGGTGGCTCAATGATTTTATTCTTTTGTCGTTCTCCTCAAATGTTTCCTGGATGGGGTGATATTTTAGAAGATGTATTTGATAGACCGCACAAATTGTAAGCTTAATTAAGTTAACTCTTATGCTCATTAAATTGTGATAAATTTGTGACTAATTTATATTTTTCATATTTCAGTATAAGAGATTCGGCTTTAGCATATTTAGTAGGATTTTTAATGTTAGTTTCACCGTCGAACTTATCCTTTTTTAAAAATTTCACAGTTAAATGTAAGTATTATGTAAATAAATGCATGAAACAAATCTTTCCTTACATTTTTAATTGCATCAACTATTAGTGGCCGCCCATTGTTCGAAATTAGACTATAATCCCTAATCAGTTTCAATTTTGTAATTTTTAACATAAATTGCATAAAGTACTTCTTCACAATAACTTAAACTGTAGCAAACAGAATCATTCGTGCTTCGATATTTTCGCGTCATTTATTAATATAATAAGAAAAAAGCTACAAGAATAAATATTTTTTATTAATTTTAAGGATATATCTTGTATTTTATCATTTTTAGATTATGAACAACTACCAAAGAAACCAGTTTCATCTGTTCTTGACTGGAAAAAAATGGATGCTTCTTTACCATACAGCTTTATGTTTCTTCTAGGCAAGTTGGTGAATTAATAATATAAACCTACTTTCTTATGTATTAGTATTAAAATTATGTATAATACATGTGTGCACTGGAATACTTCTTTACATGACGATTCTTCTGTCTTTAGGAGGTGGCTTCGCACTTTCGGATGCAGCTAAAAAAAGTGGTTTGAATCATAAAATTGGAGAGTCAATGTCCGTTCTGAAAGCATGTCCTAACGCCATTGTTCTTTTAATTATTGTTTTCGTAGTAACATTTGTTACAAACTTTGCTTCAAACGTTGCCGTTTGCAATGTTTTCGTACCTTTGGTAATGGAGCTAGTGAGTATAATTCTTTTAAATTACAACTAAAATTTATGCACAAATAGGCCCATTGGGGGTCCTTCATCAATAGTAGGGGGACGACGGGCCACGTCCGCGAAATAATACCAGTCCCACTCACTCTGATGTAGGGCCCCCGATGGGCTCGAAACTAGTCGGTGCCGCCACCGGATGAATATACGTGAGGGTTTAACGATTTTTATATAAGTTAACGTCTCAGAAAAGTTTGAATGTCATAGATATATTAAGGTTTTTCATAGAATTGGTACTTTCCCGGTATTTATTGGGATGTTTTTTATTACAGGCTAAACAAATTAACCGAAATCCGATGTGGTATTGCCTTGCGGGGGGCCTGTCCTCTTCGTACTGCTTTATGATGCCCGTGGGTACGCCTGGTAATCTGGTCGTGCAAAGTTCTGCAAGTATTGCAACTTCGAAAATGGTATTTTATTTTCTAGATACATTTAAATGATTCGACACACAGTACAAATAGATTATAATAAATATTATTTTAGCTTATCCCCTCTTTACTCAATGAAAAGAGCGAAATTGAAATTAATCATTTGTGTTTTTATGGATGATATTTCTTTGCTTCCCAGATGGTTGCTGGCGCGGGACCCACAGTATGTACTGTTTTCCTGACATGGTTTTTCCTTTATTTTTGGGCACCGATCATATGGCCGGACTTAACAACAGTGCCGTTTTGGGTGAACTGAATGGGTTTAAAATGTATTGTTGTCTTTAGAAATTAATGTTAGTTTAGATTATTCAGAAATAAATGTAATTCATGCACCATACGTATTTTTATTGAAAGCAATTTCGATCGATTTTCAATCACTGCGATTAAAATTAACAAACGTGAAATACTCATAGTTCAGGTGATCAGATGAAGTTTTGTTCCTTTTATGACTTTTTTGAAAGGTCAAGTGCTATTTTTCGGCCCCTTAAATTAAGACCAAGGTAGAAATAGGATATTTCCCCTTCCTACGCGTGTAGGAACCTTCCTCCGGCAAATGCACTTCTCCTTTCCTCTAAGAAAAGGGTAGAAAAAGAAAAAATACAAATTAGGTCTTCGGCACCACATTCGTCAGACGGAATGCAGAATTGCTTCAAGTTGACGCTTGTCTTCTGCGTGGTCGTGGTATAGAACCGGGCGAGCCGAGCAATTCGTGCTACATATGTTTTTAGGCTGGTATCTACCACTGTTAAATACTAGCAAGCTTTATTAGCTGATAATTTTTCACAACATAAATCTTACTGCCTTACTAATATTATAAATACGAATGTTTAGATGAATGGATGGATCTTTGAAGATATCTTCAAAACGGCTGAAGGGATCTCATTGAAATTTGGTATACATATAGAAAATTGTCTGGAAGAACATATATGGTATTAATTATGTTTTTTTTTAATCTCACGGAACGGATTTGCGGGTGACATCTAGTTATATAATACAATAAATGAAGCCAAACTTAATCAAAAAAAATCTGTAGCGTAATAAAGCGAAAGATAATACTAGTACAATAGTAAATAGTACAGTTAAATAGTATAATTAAAATAAATATTCATTTAATTCAAATGAGGTTTTTACAAAAACACCTTAGCAACATTAATGTTTTATTACTTCATAACCACGGGGGCAAAATATGTAAATCAGGCCAGATTATCGGTGCCCAAAAATAAATTAAAATCCATGTGACAATTATTGTTGCCAGCGAAGGTGCAAGGCCAGCTTTGATCTGTAAAATTAACCTTTTGTTACACTTACATCTCTTAACTTTATATATATGGATTGGTCGCTGCTTGTAAATGACAGCTACAGCTTTGTTGTTATCTCACTATGTTATATCACACAAGCTGTCGCCCGCAACTCTGTCTGCGCGGATATTTTTAGATCCGCACAGACGGAGTCGTAGTGAGAAGCCTATGTGTTCCTTCAAACTATATTCTACATCTGTGCCAAATTTCATCGAGACTAGTTGCGCCGTTCAGGAGATACATTCAAACAAACAACCATCCATCCATCTAAACATTTGCATTTATAAAATATTAGTAAGAAGTAAGATTAGTAACATATCAGTATAACCGTATAAGATTTGTCGTTGTACTCTACGTCCGGTAGGGAGTGCTGTACAAATCTAATACAACTTTAATAGTTAAAATATCGTATGTTTGCCCTGTAACGTACCATTTTCAAAGTAGGTATGTTGGCAGCGCTTTGTACCACAAGATTTCCCGGCGTGCCCACGGGAAGTAATAAACAAAAAGAAGACGTAAATCCAACCGCTATGTTGTACCAAAGAGGATTAACACCAATTTCTTTTGCCTTAAAAGAATAAATTAAAATTAATCATTTAAAAAAATAAGAAAATGTAATCCTAGAGTTAGAAGATTTTGAGGACGGAAACCTGGTGCGCCGACCTTACGTAAATGTGACTAGGACAGGGAGACGATGCTATATTACCAGTGTCCCGGTAGTCAAAAACCACAGTAAAACCTGTGGCTGTGGAAACTGACCGTAGTACATAAAAATAAGCAACGATATTTTCTTACCAATTGCATGGCTATTGGTGCTATAACATTGCACACTGCGACGTTTGAGGCAAAGTTCGTTATAAAAGTTGTAAATATTATTATTAAAAGAATAATAAGAAAATTTGGTAAAAAGCTTAAGTTTTTTAAAATTTGTCCAATTTTTCCATTTAAATCCGAATATTCCTTTTTTGCAGCTTCAGAAAGGGCGAAACCTCCTCCTTTACAAAGCAATAAAATGAATAAATTTTAAAGTAAAACTTGGCCTATTTTATATTCTTTTAAATATACTAATGTTTTACCTAAAAGGAACATGAAACTGTAAGGCATTGTTTCATCCATTATATTCCAATTAAGAACAGATGGTATGGGCCCCGTCGGTTGATTCATAGATTCTGCAATTGCAAAAAATAAATCATTTTAACTAAGATCAAGTGTAATTCAATTATTTTAAAATTAAAAAACTTACCTTTATTTTTAAAATATTCCATGAATTGTGTCGTGGATGGCATTACTAGCATTAGGAAACACACAATTGTGACTGCAGCTGAATCCAACACACTGAAGAAAATACTTGTTATTCAAATTACAGCCACGTAATTGTTAGAAGCCTACATTTCGATCATTACGAATAAATGAAGTCTATTTGGAAATTCCACATAAGATGTAACTTCGAGATCGATTTTTGATATTCCTAAAATATAAAGAACTAATTTGGCCCAACCGCCTAATAGTACTACACCTCTAATAGAACTCTCTCCTTCTCTATTTTATTCTGACCAGATCTGATCTTACTTAAATATAAGATAAAATGATTGACTGTCACAATTCGAGTCTTTAATTACCAACTTTTAATCCTACAACTTACAATTTGCGGTCCGTTAAGTTAAAAATTTGAACAATCTTGTTACCCCAGCCAAGAAATATTTCTGGAGAACGACTGAAGAAAAGTACAATTGCAAGACTAAATAAAATAATGACCATCTGAAAACATAAGCAGTTAAATATGTTGGAAGAAATTGTTCCTTTTTTAAGTATTCGAAATTACTTAAAACTAGCTGTCGCTTGCAACTCCTTCTATTCCGTTCTTCCAGACTATGTTTTACGTCTATGCCAAGTTTCAGAGCGATCCATTCAGACGTTTATGTTGAAAAAAGAAAAGGTCTGTTTTTAGGATTTGCCTCACAGTTATTCGAATTTATAAACCTTCCCTAGACCTCCACGAACATTTCAAGACCAAGATAAGATCAATCCGTTCAGCCGTTTTCGAGTTTTAGAGATACTAAATAACAGCAATTGATTCATATATATAAACTAGCGGACCCGTCACGTTGTCTGACAATTTGACACTGCGATGGTAGCGCCGTCTGTCGGATCCAATGTAAAACATTCCAAAATCAACAACTACTAATAAATTAAAAATTAATTAAAAAAACATTGTCCAGCGGACAAAATTGTGAATCTAAACCATTACCAGATCCCCTTGAACACACACAAAAAATTTCATCAAAATCGGTCCAGTCGTTTGAGAGAAGTACAGTGACATACACACACACAGAAGAATTATATATATAAAGATATAAGAAGACAGATAGATATTAATTTAATTGCTTACTATTTCCCAAAAAGTGATACGTCCTAATTTCCTCCATTCTTGTTCGACCGACTTTTTAGCAGCTTCTACACCATCAGGAGTAATTTTTGAACTTTTATGCGCAACACTGTTTGGCCTTAACATAAAAATAACTTTTGTAATTAAAGATTAAAATGAATTATCAATAATTTTATTTCCTTACCTTAAAAAACCTAAGTAAACAATTAACATGTTTAAATACATCAAAATTTCTAATATTAACATCAACGGAATTGCAAATGCTGAAAATTTGGGGAAAGATAAATACTCAGGTGCGTCTGGATACATCCTTAAAAAAATAATTTTACATTATGTCTTTCTATGTTACAATATGACCACAGTTTTAATATATATACAATATTTATATTACGCATACTTACTTATTGAAAAGACCTTTAAATACTAAATTGGTTGCTGTTCCAACCAATGTGCCAATTCCACCTGGATTAAAAAGTTTAAACATTGATTTTGAGGAAAAACTTGATGTAGAGTTTTAAACATTCGAGATTATCTACACAGTACTTGGATGACCGAGGTATTTTTTTTTAATTGTGTTTTTTGGAAATTATATTTAAGTACGAATTACTAATAAAATGATGAAATATGAATAATATTTTTCGATCTTACCGATAGAAAAAGTTAAGTTTATGTTTAAGTTGATTATCGATAAAACACGAATAAAATGAAATTTTTTAAAAATGATTCCTAGCTAGATCGATTTATCGCCCCCGAAACCACCTATATACTAAATTTTATGAAAAACGTTGGAGCCGATTCAGATATTCCAATTATATATATATATATATATATATATATATATATATATATATATATATATATATATATATATATATATATATATATATATATATAATATATATAATGTATAATGATATCTTATATCATTTAAAGATATAAGATATCATTATACATTTCTAAAGAGATGCAACTTTTTATATCGAATGGGTTTTATCTACTGACCAATAGTAGCAGAGAATGTCGAAGCACAAAAGTAACAAGTTGTTATATCAGACGCTATGTTTTCTCCATCTGGGCCAATTTCATAAATTTTAAGAATGTTTTGCTGGAAATATAAATCAATATTAATATGTCATGAGTTCGTGAGTTATAGAAAACTTTGAGTTTTTAAAGCATTTTTACATAAATAACATAGAACAAGAACCCTAAAACTCTGACTCTTGTATTAATACATACTGTCAACCCTTTCATTCCCTTTGACATAAGAGAGACAACAACATGTATTAATTAGTTGTCAGCTAAAAAAAACTTTAATAGTAGGCTATGTTTTCTGCGAGATAAATGTTATACATCTATGCCAAATTTTATCGACATCCGTTGAGCCGTTATACCTTAGCATTTATAATATTAGTAATATTACAAATCGTAATACATTTTCTATTCAATTACTTACTTCCTCAAACACTTGGAGAAGGGCAAAGTTAATAGGTACCATCATTGTAGCCGCCGCTGTGTTTGTGATCCACATTGATATGAACATCGTGATAAATGACATCGCGAAGAGTAATCTAATGGTGTGTTTCCAATATCAAAACATAATATAAATGTTAACAATTTAAAACAGACAACAGAGACAAGATTTAAATAAAGCAAGTGCTATGGCAGTCGTTGTTCATGGCGATAAATTCAGTAAGTCGTTAACATTTACGAATAAAGAAAAAAAAGTCACTAAATACTAGATTACTGAGAACGAACGAATTAAATGGTCACATTAATCCATCCACCCTTAACTAAGGGTAGGCTCCGAGCTCATCGGTGGGGACGTATGGCGAGCTGATGATGATGACGATGATTAATCCATCTATTAAATGTCCAAAACCGTATGTTTGTATGTTTATTCATTGCGGGTAGTCTCAGTATCGCCTTTCATTAATTTTTCAATATATGCTCGATATAAGTTCATATTACAACTAAACTGTATATAAATGCTGACATAAACTATTGTAACTTTCTTTACTTTTCATTGTTTAATTAAATTAAATCATTGTACTGAATATTATGTTGTTAAATGTATTTATGAATCTATTATAATGCCTTTCTTACTTATAATGCGAGTATCCAATTGTTCTTACAGCACAGAGCGCGAGTCGTTTATGTAGTCCAGATTGCTCCACAGCGTAGGCTAGAAACATGCTTCCCAAAAACATAACAATCGTGTCCTATTAAGATCAAAATTTTATTAATATTTTAATACCTACGAAGAAGAGTATTCAGCATTTGTTGATATCGAAATATTAATTAGCTTACGTTCATATAACATTTACAGGTCGTCGTCGTATTCATAACTCCACTTAGGGGAAATATAATAATAGGTATTATAGAGGTAATTGGCAAGGGAATACATTCTGTTACCCAGAATAAGGCCATTAGTACTAAAGTGTAGGCGCACCACTGATATTTCTGAAATTCAGTACAATTTTACTAATATTTCTATAATAAACTAAAGAACTAGTTAATTGTTTGAAAACTAATTAACCAGATTGACCCTTACTGTTAAGAAGATTAATCGCAGGATACTAAACACTTGAAAAACAGTGAAAATAAGCACACAGCCACGAAAGCTGAACAAAAACCAAGCGTAAAGTGAACGAAGTTATGAAGAAATGAAAATATAACTCAAAGCGTACTCCACGTTAAATTCTGCTTTTTCTTGTAACCCTTACTTAATAGTTTTCTATAAAGGACAAATTCATTGCTGTTATAGTTTATTAAATTAAAAATATTGAACTTACTTCTGTGGGAATCGTAAAGTGAACTGGGATCAAAAGCAAAGGCACCAGAAAGCATATCAATCCACGCCAGTGATTACAGAGAAACAATTTGATCTTCATTTTTATAGTAACACTGTCATTTTCATCTCTACAAATTTTTATTTCATATTATTATAATTGTTCTGGAGATTACCCGCAAAAACCGAAGGCGTATGGACAGACATTTATTTTAACAGTGCTAGAGCCCGCTTTAACATCTTCACACGAATTGACCTTGTTCGCCCGGTGAAATACCACGCCCACACAGAAGACAGGCGTCAAGTGGTAGCAATTCCGCGTTTCGTATGATAAGTGTGTGTCCCGGAAGCCTAATTTGTCCAAAATCCCTTCCCACCTCTTTTCTTGGCCGCTAGCTCTCTCGTTTGCCACCTTATGATATAAAAACATGACATACAGATAGACAAATATTTAAAAATTGATTTTTCGTTATCAGCAACCCAAATACATCTCATGTATGAGATATGATTTTTTTCCTCGATATTATATACAGACCTATTTAAGGAATATTAAGCAGTAACACTAAACAATACTCTTTATCGTTTTCTAAGCTTAATAAAAAAACAATTAGGCCTAAATTATTTACTTACGATACATCGGAAGGAAGGGAAGAAGGTAATTGGTCAGTGTTTTCAGGAACATTAACTATCGGCTCCATTCTGAAGAACTAATATCATTAATAATCTAATTTATTAGAACTAATAGCGAGAAATCGATTTTCTTCTTGTCCGAATTAACCGTTGCCTTCAATAGTTCAAATGATTCTAATTCAATTTACTCACGATGGCTATGCAATGGATTGTAACATTAAAAGTTGACAACGAAATATTATATGGGGCAGCTAGATCGAAAACTTATTAGACTTAAATATTAAGTACCGACTCAAAAAACAGGCATTTCTGTACCTATGTAATAAAAAATCATATTTCATACACATGACGTATTTGCGTTACTATAAAAAAAAAATTAAGTTTGCCTATTCTAAATTGGTCGAAATCAAAAAGATTTTAAAATGTTTTTTTTTTCTGGCAACGAATTTCACCACTAGTGTCCATGAATAGATTGTTTAATTATAATGGTACGAAATAAATAAAAGCATGCGCTCGCCAAAAACTCCTACCAACTTCGCAATCAAACAAAGCTAATATATTGAAGGCTACGGAAAGAAATGAAAACAAAACGTAACCTCTTAAATAACTTTTATTTTAAATATATTAGAAATTAGTGAAACAAATCTTAATATAATTAATTCTAAATAAAACTAGAAACAAATATCAATAACTCCACGAACTTATACATAAACGTATTAACGAATATTTTATTTTATAACAAATTAGACGACTATTTTGTTTCATGCAGACGCGCTTAATACCTCTTAAATCCCCTTATTATCATAAGTAACATATAATAATAAAAATATTTTTCGTAATCAAATTAATACAATTCTCAAGTGCATATTATTTTTAATCCTATCATCTTATCATTGGTTTCTGAGACCATGGTCTCTGTTTAATCGTATGTCTGTTATATCAAAGCTAAGAGGTATATTGGTCTCAGAAACCAACGATTAGTAAAAAAATATACGAGTATATAGCGCGACATTTGCGATTACTAGATAAACGATACATATTTACCTTATACAACGTATATATGCTTTAGGGTAGTCTTTATATACTAGGGCTAAAATATTTTTATAGTTATTAACTGTAATACATTAAAAACTCATTGTTTAAAATTCATGCCTCGCAAATAACCCAAGCAACACTGGCTAACTTCGTACCCCGCAGTTTTCTCTTACAAAAAGTAGGGAAGTCCTTCACAAATTGAATTAAATAACCAAAATAACTATAATACAATACTAAACTCCGAACGCATAACAAATTTGCAGCTTGACCTTCCTTTTATTGTTTACAAAAGTTGTGTGGTGTTGTTGCCGGTTGGGCTCGGTACGGGCGAAATTCCCTCACCATTAGGATCCCAGACTATAGGCGCCCAATAGCATAAAGACAACCAAATGATAATACCACAAATAATCACGCTAGGGAAGGAGTATTTTGCCTGTAAAAAATGATAAATCAATTATCCAAATATTAAACTTTAATTTCTTATTGATATCGCGTTGACTTATTATTGTTTCTTAAAAAATAATAAGTTTCCCGCGAGATTATGCAAAACAATAACATCGTTCTTTTTGCAGTCGGTTTAAAAGATGGTTAATAAGTCAGTATGCTTAAAATTTTACGTACCATTATACCCCTAGGAACTTTTCCAGTAGTATTGCAAAAATATGCAGGTGTATTTAAAAATGGAAACATAAAGGTCATTGAACTGGCTACTCCCACGCCGAGGGCACCGATGTAAACTCTCTTTGGCCATGGTACCGGCGCGTCTGGTTCGACAGCCTATGTTAAAAATAACAATATTTAATATAAAAATTAAAAACAGCGATAAAAAAATTAACAGTGATAGAAACGTCCAATCGCTTTGTGCACCACTATCACTCAGAAGATGAACAAGATTAAAAATTTTATAAAAAATACTAGTCGCCTGCGACTCCGTCTGCGCGAAATTAAAAAAAAAATATAATTAGTAGCCTAAGTATTCCTCCAGACTATGTCCTACACCAATGCCAAATTTCAGCGAGATCCAAGCAGCCGTTCTGGAGGTACCTTCAAACATCCATCCATCCATCCAAACATGCGAATTTATAATATTAGTAAGAAGTAAGATTAAAAAAACTTTTAATTACCATGTTGATAACGAAGGGTAAAAACAAACAACAGGAAGCGACCCCAGGCATTATATTTGCTAAGAATATTGCGATGAACACAACAAGAAGAAGTGACAAACACCAGACATAGTCTGTTAATAATTTTCCAGAACCCGCCGATATCGCAGAGCATAAATCGGTATTTCGTACTGCTATATTCAGTGAAACGCCCGCACCTATAATAATGGGAAATTACATGATTATTACTTACTAACTGTCCTCACGACTTCGTCCGCATAGTGTTTTAATTATTATAGGCAACTTACAAAACATTCACATACACCTCCACATATTCTAAAATAAAACCTTCATCCTCTATTGTTATTTTGTACCCTTGAGGGTAAATATTTACCAACAGTGAAATCATATTTATTGTTATAAAATTAAGACTAAAAAGTTTCAAGCTTCTATCAATAACATGACGACACTTCTATACAAATTTCTAACCTCCTTTTCAACTCCTTACAATACCTTTTTTGCGTTAAAAAAATCTAGACTATCTGTGTATCAAATTTCGTTCAAATCGGTTCAGTTTCACTTTTCAACCATCAAGAGCTATTCTCTTATTTTCCTATGTTATACATTGTCATCAATACAATCATCAGTCTTTGTCTGCCCACTGTTCACACAAGCCTTCCTCAATTCTTTCCACGGCATACGGGGAGCACCGCATCCAATAATATTTAATACAGTTTATAGGGAATGAAACAAAAAAAATATTACCAAGCACAAAGAAGTATCCGTAGTTTGTGTGCTTGTTAACAAAACGCCAAAAAATTATTGCAGATTCCGGTTTCATTGTCAATTGACTTTTTCCTGAAACAGACGAACTATAGTTTTGAATTTCGCGATAGGTATACACGGATTAGTGTAGTAAGCTAACTTATTTTTATTCTCCCTGCGCAAGTGGGTAGTTGTAAATCCTGTACTTACTTTTTGCAGTTAGAAATCTCATAAATCCCAATGTCCTCGGTAGTAAATGTAGTATGAAAATATATATCGCGGCAACTGTAGCATCTTTGATGCTGCGAAATAAAATTTATATTAGAGATATCATAATTTACGACACCTTTTATATCACAACACATCAGCGACCCGCTTTGTCAAACAATTATCATTAGAGATTTGTAGACATTTTATATGTAAACATTTATTCATAAGACATAAGTCGTTAAAATAAATTGGATAAAAAAAATACTGCAACGAGTTTGAAAAAAGTCTAGTTTGTAAATTCAATAAAATATTAAAAAACCAACCCAGGTATTAATGGTGATACTGCTTCTCTTCGAAATGTTGCCCAGCCCATATTCAACCAAACACACCAGCGGAAAATAAAAGTAAGCATTGCTAATGTTGCAAATATTAGAGTTAGCTATAAAAATAGAAAACATATTAAAATTGTTTTGCTATCAATTTAAACAAGTAAACACGACAATAATCTAATTAAATAGAGATCGGAAAATCAAGACGCTACATTGACCCTTCTCACATTATTAGGTTTAGGTAGAAATTATAAAGGCACCTTTCGGTGGTAATTCTGTATCTGGACACACTAACACGATGCACGGTGTAAACAGTTTTTCATGCCCAGCTACAAACCCTAGTCGAGTCAGTCTTGCAGCGAATGGTTATTGTTAAATTGAAATGCACTATAAAAATCGCTCTACCGAAACTGTTTGCAGAATAACGCAATATGAAAACACGCTCTACTAGTGAATTAAAGTAAATTATAATGTAAAATTAAGAATGAAAAAGGTTCGTCACTTTCTAAAATATCATTAATTGCAGTTTTAACTTTAAAAAGCATAAACATACTGTACAAATAGTACTAATCAAAGAAATGTGAAAAAAGTTACCTTTTCATGCGTGCCCATTTTCTCCGGCAAAACTTTCTTTTGTTCGAGTAATAATTTCTTAACTTCTGCCATATCACTGTCACTGAAAGGTGCACGAGTAGTCCTGGTGAAGAAAAAATTAAACACATCAAAATGTAGTTGAATCATAAATTTTTTAATTTCATATTTCAGGCGCTTTGACAAGGCAACGTAAATTGTCCAAAGTAATATTTTATGGTTGAGACGTGAGCATCGCGTTGCGCGCACTCCGTACACACAATGCGGAATCGTCAACGCGAGTTGTCTATTCGGTTAGTGCAGGCCGGGTTTAACGATGCCTTATATACGGTGAGCCTTAATGTTCAAGCCGTCCATTGGAATAGTAATTCTAATTATTTCACTCTCTCAATATATTCTTATAATAAATTTAAGGGTGTTTGTGGATGGACAGAAGTGTAAGACCTAAGTGCACTTTAAAAATTGGTTTATTTTATTGTTTAGTATACTTTTTGGTAATATAGAATGTCTCGAATGCTGAAATGCTTATCAATATATCATGTATGAGGTTATTAACCAAATTATGTTAATATAAAATTAAAACAAATTTACCTTAAGATAAGCGCCATGTGATAAAATACGTTACATAAGAACATGACCAAAGCAGTGGGAATGGCGTAGCAACAATACTGCAAATAGTTGAAAATGTCAGGGTACTCCATCCCCTTGGGCCCACTCCTGCAGGTTAATGCAAACAATTATTAAGGTTATTTTTTTAAATATTAGCAGATTTTTTTGTAAATTTACTATAATAATATTACAGACAATAGTCGAATGGCGGGATTCGAACCCCCGACCTCGTGATCGGAAATCTGTACCCTTAACCATTAGGCTATAGACGCTTCAATTGTAATATGTGTTTCAATTTAACAAATATTTGAGTTAAATTCAATTCATTAGGTCTTTAATTTAGGTCATGGAGTTTAATTCAGATTATATTAATGTAGTGAATATGTAACAAAAAAAAACCTAAAAAAATCATTGTTTTCTCCGGTTTTTAATTACCTTATAATTTGAGAGACCGCATCTGACTGATAGTAAAATTATAAACAAATTTATAAGAATTAAATACTCACACAAACCAGATGCCTCGGAAAAACAATGTAGCATACGACGCATGTATAATACAAATGCTACCTTTAAAAAAAACATCAGACGATCAGAATGCAAATCCGAAAGCTTGCTTTTTTAAGTTTTGTTCTATTATTAAAAGATTGAAAGATACGGGACTCTTACTACGGTTGGGACAACGCTGTTATAACAGTGGTAGAGCCCGCTTTAACATCTTCGCACGAATCGGCCCGGCTCGCCCGGTGAAATACCACGACCATACATACAGAAGATAGGCGTGAAGTGGAAGTAATTCCGCGTTTCGTCTGATGAGGGTGCGTCCCGGAGGGCTAATTTAGTCCATTTACCCTTCCCATCCTTTTTCTTATAAGGAAAGGATGGAAAGTGGAAGTGGACTTTCCATGTGAGAGGATGCATGGAAAGGGAAAATATTTTCTTTCTATGCATCCTGTCCTCCGTCGATTAAAGGTAGGCAACGCGTATGCAATTGCGTATGTCTATGAGCAACGGTCACTTCGCTACTTCAGCGATTTCAGGTGGCCACTCGCTCGTTTGCCACCTTATGACATATTACAAAAAGTCTAAGTGTAGAAAGAATCACTTTACTTTCGAAGTTAACAATTTGGAGGTCTCAACTCACCAATGGAAGAGGCTGTTTGAATCGCGTTGTTCATAATATGTTTAAGTTTTTTAAAATCCGTAGTGCTTCTTGATTTTCCCTAAAAATACAATTGGTATGTTAATGAGCCAGGAAATGTATCAGAAAAATCAAAACTAATTTTAATGTTTATATCTAAATTTTTGCACCAGATTTCTAAAATGAAATGAAAAGTAATGAATGTTACATAAAAATACTACAAATTAACCTTCGAAATATTCCCAATTGCATACGAAGTAAAGTGGCATAGCATTAAAAAGAACTAAAAATGCTCGTGTCCTAAAATCTCCTTGTCCTCTAGTGTATGGTAGCTTATAAACAATTATATAAGTTTTATAAAAAACCAACCTGTAGACTTGTCAGCACCACTGTCATGATATCTATTATATTAGATGTCACTATAAATTTATTACAAATTGCAGACAATAAAAATGAAGCCATACTAGCTTTGTAGACAAGTCTGTAATATTATTTGGTTAACAAAATTATTTGTTAGAATTAAAGCAACTGTTACTCCTTAAAAATATCAGCGATTATAAAATTGCATTTAGTTCGCTTTTAAGCGTTTGTGATAATAAATAAGGTTGACTGGAAATCTATTATTTTGCGACAGCTGATTACCAACGTTGGTCAAATAACAAATAACGTGAGTCACTTATTGTTTGCCTGCAGTGAGGGTGTAATTGGACGACAACTCTACGCTGGTGCGGCAACATCGTGCCAAGGATGTCGCTTTATTTTGTACATGAATGCAGGGAATTAAATACCATTCCCTGCCCTATGAAGATTCGTCACAGTATGCTCTACATCTCTATCACCCGTCTTATCTGAATTCACTCTCTTCTTAAGCATGTCCTCTTTCATACAATCATTCCACGATTTCTTCGACCTTCTCTACATTTCTATATAAACAATATCAATGAATGTGTCGATACAGTTACAAGTCCTTCTTGTGGAAAATTGGCAATGCTTTTAAAGCGTTTTAATACTTTAAATGAGGCAACATACCTTAGTGCTGAGAATTGACTTGTGTTACCGGCACAAAGGAACCATATAGCAATTCGGCGATCCACACCGGAGTTGTTTAAAAGTAAATGCATCATACTGCCTATTATAAATAACGCTGTGATATCCTGAAACATTTCAATATTCACCAAAAAAGGTTGATAAATAATTCAAATAAAATAAAATAAATTATGTAAACTTACATTAAAATAACATTGAACAACAACAGAACTAGACACCACACCACACATTGGAAGAACGAACAGCGGAATAAGTCCACACGCTTGAATACTCGACGGTTGCCAAAAGAACATCCATAGCATGCAGACCCACATCAGTATCACTGTTTTGTCGTGCTACAACACATACAACAAATGCATTCACTTATACGTTCCTTAAAATAACTGTTAATTTATTTTAATAGTACAGCACTAAAATAGCAAAGTGACCACGGCCTATAGCATATATGTATACCAGATACCTTGCCTACATATCTATAAAGAAAAGAGGAAGAGATGAATATTCAAAGAATATTACCCCTTCCCATAAATCCACTTTTTCCGATGCTTTGGTTATATTAATATGAGGTGTTGCTAATTATATACTTATATAAGATAATTCACTGTGGGTTTCTGAGACCATAATCTCAAAGATAAAAACAGATTCGACGATATGTTTTATACAGGAATTTAGTTCTCTAAAGCCCACACTTAGTGATTTAAAGATAATAGAGGTATTGCAAATTGTTTTGCATTGCAAATTTCAATTTTTAAGTAAATAAAGATAATTTCTATTTACCTTTCCCAGTTCAAAAAACCATGGTAAAATAAGAACTGGCGGAAAGAATCCAACGATGCCTCGAAAATTATTATAAGCAACATTTTTTGCTCGATCCGCGTTATCGACTATTGGCGTTTGGGCCGTCGATCTCCTGAAATAGCGATATTGAATTAAATCCTTATTAAATGTAATTTTTTTTTCGTTATTCTAAATCGGTTCCTTATTCTTGAGGATCGTGGTTGGCAAAGACAGGGTTTGATCTCTAACGATATGCCTTCACTGATTTCAGTCCAGCACAGCTCTCACGGTGTACAATTTTGTGGTGTCCGTCTTGGTGAGCAGCTACATGCTCTTCTTCTTTTAGTTTTTTCAACACCAATTAGTTTTGTCTCCTCTTCTTGTTTAGAGTGGCCGAAGTATGAGAGAATGCATTTTGTGCATAGTGGATTGTTGTTAGTGACTACAGTCAGCAAATTATATTGCATCGTATTATTAACATGAATATACCAACCTCCAAGAGAGAAAACTGAAATTATAAAATGTCAAAATTAGTTAAATAAATTTTATATTTTGATTTTAAGTGTATTTTTTTATTTTATTGATTTATAATTTCGATAGGAAATTTGTTTACTTACCCACCCATTGCGAAACTCTTATCTTAATTATAAATTCAATGACATTTAAGCGTCAAATTGAATTAATATTTTAATCTTTAAAAATATGAGACCTCTTTAAAATTGGAACGACTTAATTTTAAATTGTAAAATATTACACCTTCATGAAGGTAAAGATTGTAAAATTGTAATTTACATTTGCACTTTTCCAAAACAATTAAAAGTAAAACGTACTTCTTTTTAATTAATTCATTTTAGTAAAACAACATTTACATAAATGGCAGTGTTTATTTAAGGAATTTAACAATTAAAAATGTTATAACGTAGTTCACTTTTGTTTGTCCATAAATTCGGAAATCACTTTACAGTCCACTCCTATCTATACATATTATCTAGCGCTGTAGACAATTGTACCACCGGTGGTACAGTCGCGGTATCACTTAACGATATGCTTCCAATGTTATGACACCACATTCAAAATCAAACAGGTGTCGTTCGGCGATAGGGGTCAGTGCCGACAGCACGGTCGTGTCGCGGCGGCTTGTCCCCTGCGTTCGCTCGGGCACCCGCACCGAACGTCACCAATTCCTCTTCCCTCGAAGGCGGCGGCTCCACAGCTGAAGTATCTAGAAATCTGCCGCTAGCTATTGATGCTTGCGATTGAAATATCGATGCACTTCTCAAACCGCTCAAAGTGTTAGCACTTTGAGGTACTTCTTTAAATTCTTCAAAATAATTGTCACAAGCCGTTGGCCTCGGTGCGGCCGGAAAGCCATATAAAGTAGACGATGACAAATCTTTTAGTGATGCTGAGCTTAAATTGATTCTTCTATTTTTATGTATGGAACAGTGTGGCATTTCGTCACCGTCGAAAACGAAACGTCTTCGTTCGTGAGGGGTCGCTGCAGACGATCCCGTCGGCGGGTACGTGTCCCTCTTCAGCATACGTCGTTCGAGTAATGATGAATCTCTTTCCCTGAAATCTGAGAAGGCGTATTCACGATCCCAAGCTCGGCAATCTGCTTTCGCTTTCTCACACAGCTCTGTTATCCAATCTTTTTGATACCATTGCAAGAAAAGAAATATTGCCGAAGTGCCCGCTAGCTCGGCTGCCACGAAACCACTCAAATATAATCCAAAAGAATAACCGTAGCTGTAGGACATTCTCGGCGTATCGAATACTGTCATGTACCGTAGCTTGTAGCCCACTTGTGATTTGAATACAGATATGTACATTACGATGCCAGTCAGCATAATTAAACCTGAAAAAATAAGAAAATGTTGGTTAGAAGTCGCGTTTTGTCATCAGAACACAAAACTTGATGTCTCGAAAATGTATTATTAATTAAAAGTTGAATAGGAAGTGTCCACTTACCGGACACTATGAACAAAACACCCGCTATAAATGTGCATAATCTTCGTCCCTTGACGCAGTGTCCTAAGACACAGCAAAGAGCTCCCACAGCTTGCGCGAACACAGCCAGGAGCAGTGGAGCAGCGGAGCGCGTTACCACGTCTGGAAATTTATACCATAGCTCTTTAATTAACTAACTAATAAGAAAATGGTACTCTAGTAACGATAACAGTAGCGCAGAATTATTACATCAAGTAACATGATGATCTGCTTCAAAATTTTATAATTGGCTTATACTTGTCTGTATAATATTTTCCTAAAGATGTGTGATTGTGTGATGATTGAATAACCCCTTATTATTGTTTTTATCCAACGGTACTAATGATAGAAAATATGATTATATCATAAAATTTTTGACCAAATATTTTTTTACTCTCATTTACATTGTCTCTTTAAACTATTATTTATTATAATATTATTATATTTTTTACAGTTGATAAATAAAAGAAAAAATGTAAACTTACATGGTATCGCATTAGTAGAATCACTAGGATCCGGAGCGTATTGAGACAAAGGAAAGTATGGTATGTCCAGACATTCATACACCGTGCTGCCCGCTGAAATTGAAAAATCATACTTATATTATAAATAAGAAAATTTGGATGAATGGATGTTTGTTATTATGTGTCTCTAAAACGGATTTTAATGTAATTAAGCACAGATAGAGAAATACATACATAGTCTGAAACATAATTAAGGAGATTGAATGATTTAAGGATGGTCAGTTTGAGAAAGACCTAAAAATTATTGGTGCATTGTCTGCAAAAAAAGAAAGGAGGGGAGTGAATTAAAATATGACGGCTGAAAGAGATGTTTGGAAGAGCTAATATAAGCTAAAAAAATTAATACAAAAAACCGAACAAATTATCATGATAAGTTATAACGTTTAACGTAATAAATAGAATGCACCAATGTACTGACAATGAGTGCGGCTACAGACTTTGTAAAGTAGAAAGTGGGCCGACGTGGACGGTGCGACTTTGCGACTGTGTGCAGCACAATGCATTTCCTGTCTCGAATGACGGAAACGGCAACGCATTGTAGGACTGCGTCACACTAGGAACTTATTCCTTTATTGTATCACCACCATATATGTATTTAACTTTTTAAACGTATAAAATACAATTGCTACTCTGTTCTATTTACTAACCGTTGTAAAATTTAAACCAATTAGGAATAAAACGCAACAGATAAATTTACAGATTAGTTTGTGGTATATTTACAACTTAGACTATGTAACTATTAATATGTTAATACGTAAAAATACTTGTATGCGTATAGTATAGTAGGAGCCAAATCGTAATTTCGCACTAGATGATAGGCATAACATAATTTTACTTAGCGGCGAGACAAAAAAGATGCAGAGCCGGGCCTCTTGCGCACGCTTTTCTCCAACCGTAGTGTGCCCGGACTCATGTCTCAACTCAACTAAAACTTCTAGTTAACGAACGCCTATAAAATTTGAAACTTATTATATCAGTACTTACGTTCAGTATGACATATTCTCCAAAGTCCTGATACGGTATGTTTCGCTACAAGCGCGTGTTTCCCAGTACCATTGTATAGAGGATTGAGCATATTTTCTTGGGTGTGTAGCCAGTTGTTTGTTGACACTGCCACTAACACGGCGACCACCGCGGTGCCCGCTGACAACGGTGTAAGAAGCCACAAACACGCCACTGATGAATCAATCTTAGCGACTAACGTGGGAGAGGGCGGCGTTGGCCTGAAATATTGGAATGATAAAAATTACAAAGGTAATCTTCAAATAATTTAAAGTTATATTGTGTGTAGAAATGTTTAATAGACTCTTTCTCAATAATCGAATTATTATTTGAAAAAGATTTATAACAATTATTAAGATGTTTCCTCCAGAATTTTCTAGCGTTTGTTGTCAATTAGATTTTTTCCAAGCCAGCGATCTTCAAACGTATCTCCAACGATGCGATTTGGGAACGTAATCACAATAATGTACTACGCCTTTGAGGTATATTTTTCTCCAAATCTATTTCAAAGTTAGTTATTACTTTACTAAAAGTCTATTCATTTCGTAGAATTATTTAATAATTTATTTTTATTAAAATTGCTAAATGTAAAAATATATTAATTTTCATTATATTTAAATTGAATTAATAAGTAACATTTATAATGACCCACTCAAAGTAGTTAAGTGTCTTTAGGTAAGATTTAATAATTGAAATGTACATTATGGGTTGCACTTAGTGATTGATTAACAATTCTTAATTCGGCAATAATATGAGTACCTAAGCGTGGGTGTTAAGGTTTACTTTGCTATAACATTTTTTAATAATTTTTCATAAGAAAGTGTTAACTACCTGGGCGGGCGGCGGCTGGCTATGGCTCCGCTGAGCGTAGGCGCAGGGGCTCGGGCGCCGCGCGGCAGCGACGCGTGCACGCACTGCGCGCCGCCGCCCCACATGCCTTGCTGCTGCTTTACTAGAAACATACAATTTGAATACTAAATTACACATATATGTAGGCACTGAAGATAATTGATAACAGCTAACATTGTTTTAAATTATCCTAGACTAGATAGCAGTGTTGTGAAGCCAATACGTATTTACAATGACAAACGCATTGAATTCTTGGCACACGATGCATCTGCAAGTTTATAAAGTTAGTTCGGAACGTGAGCTGCATGAGAATCTAACGATTCTACATTATTCCTATCCATTTGTACAGTTTTATTGGTTTATTTATTAAACATTATTAACAAAAACAGTTACAATATGACATATGACATTTACTATATTACCAATTTACATAAGTAAACCTACATGTTAAGGATTACAAAGGATTACTAATTATACTACACATTATGTTTAATTTGTGCCGAAACATCCTGTATAAGAAAATATTGTTGTCTCTAGTTTTGTAAAGAGAATGATACGGATGGCAATTTTAAATTATATCGCCCATGGAAACTCAATGTTATGCACATTAAGTTCTATCTTCTTCTGTCATGTTTGTAACTCGCAGAACTATTGAGCCACGTTTAAAGCCCTAAGGTATTAGTGTAGTGAAGCACAGAAATTAGAATGTTCCATCCAATTTATGTAGACAAGACAAACTGCGAATGGTATTCCCTTGGGATCGAGTGACCGGAGAAAGTCTGCGAATTTATGACCACTCTGCGATTTGCTCTATGTTCTTGTTAAATCTATTGTACAGAAAACTAAACAAACGCTTTTGATTTTATGATATAAAATAATAATTGGGTAAACCTATAAAATTATTGTTAGTAATTATTTTGTTACTAATTATTATCAAATAGACCTTGCTCAAAGTTTTTGAGACATAAAAACAAGAAGAAAAGGTTAACATGATCCTTGATGTTTCCGGTGCTCGTTTAAACCTTTCTTTATAAAAAATATATAGAAAAACGTAAATTATCGAATTTTATTCATCGCTATCTACTCGTACTAACAAACTAAACTCGAATGAAAGCCACAGGTAAGTTGCAAACTTCAAGTGGTCTAACTTACTTTACATTTATATTATCATCAAAAGGAACAGATTATTAAAACGAGAAATTCTAATTCAAAATTAAAATCTGAAATTAAATTTAAAGGAATAAAATGCAATTAGGAAATAACTGCCTTGTTCGCGCTTCGTGTATTTAAGTGTATTCGCGTAGAAGGGTTCAAAACGAACCGGCACCATTAAGGAGCTTTATTGGATTTAACTTTTTCTTAAGTAAGTAAAATAAATTTTCCCTTAAAAACTGATCAGCTTCGTTGAAAATATAAAAATGTAACGTGAGTCTGTATATAGTAATCATAAAGTTGTCTTGTTAAGTTCTCATCAATGTTGTTACCTAAAAAAATAATGAAAAGGCACAAATTTTTTGAGTTTTTTTTTCAAACTGAATTTGTAAAGTTATCTGTAATTAAATTTTACGTTAGATATTTTTCACGTCTTAACGAAGTTTCCCTCCGGGAAACAGTCGTTCCCAAAATCTATCATTGGAGCACACGCAAATTGAACTATTCATTTATTCACGATATAACATTTTAATCATTAAAATCCTTCTGAATCCGTTTGTATAATAAATAAAATCGAATAATGGTTTGATTTTTATGGATCACTAGCTGTAGCCCGCTACTCCCTCCGCGCGAATTAAAAAAAAGAAACGTTATAAGTAGCCTATGTATTCTTCCAGATTATGCTCTAATAAGTATGCCAAATTCCATTGAGATCCTTTCAGCCATTCCGGAGATACCTTCAAAAAAACATCCATCCATCCAAACATTCGAATTTAGAATATTATTATAGTAAGTTAAGATGTTATAATTTTTTATTTCGATGTTGTTAAATCACAAGATAATTAGGTATAATTAAGGAAAAAAAAATGGTAATGTTTGTTTTCTTTTTGCCGTTGGATTTCACTGTTTTAATTTCTGCTCGCTGCTGAAAAAAAACAGTTTCAGAAAAAATAAACCCCGCATACAAAGGTGAAGAAACAAAAATTGTTTCAATTTAACAGAAACGCTTTGAACGTATTTAGTTTTAATATTATCTCATTTCTGCGTAATAAAGCAATTTTTGTTAGAAAGATGGTCTGAAACATTGTAAGCTTCTTATTAAAAATATTTACACAGAAAGCGATGTCCTTCAAAAGAAAACGTAAAGTCATTTCATTGCGGACGCAAACTACAAAAGTTTAAAAACTCATTTTGCCAGCTCTACATAAGCTTCTGTGAAGAAAAATGAAAAAATATTTCAACTTTTAAAAACCACTCTACAAAATATGTAACACAATGAATATAGTCAATAAGAGAAACTAATATAATTCTATAACAATAATATATGCCTCATAGACAAAGCCTTACCGAAATTGTATGGGTTTTGTTCAATTAGTTATAAAAATAAGTTCACTCGATTCTTAATTTACACGTGAGTAAAGCAAGAATCCTACTTTAACCACAATGTCAATTGTAACACCCTCGTCGAGCCTTGTTCAACTGTTTCTTATTTAATTTATAAATCTACTTTTAGTGCGTATTCCATGTTTAAAAAGACATATATGTGAAAATAGACCAATCTCAACAGTACTTTAAATGACAGCAATTGTTTTAGTTTAGAACAAGACAATTCAAAATGTCTACCTATAATAATAAGTTAGAGATACATAAATCCAAATACAAAAATTACTTATAAGATCTTGTGTTAAAATTACTTCTACGTAACATTTTTTTTTCAAATATAATTTAGATACGTTATTCGTGAACATCTCTGAATTAATCAGCATCATAGCAACACTCATTTTGTACTTAAATTCTCTGGGCGCGTCTTCTCGTCTGCTCGTCATTGTTATTGGCGAAGTTTCGGGAGCGAGCTTGATTGATGAGAACGCCGGCTGCGAAGCGTCTTACAGTGGTGACACAAAAATCTCTGTTTCCCGCCTTAATTGCTTGATTAAACTTGATAAGACGTCATGATGATAATCAAAATTATTGCTGTATAACGTTTGATATATTTAGTAACTTATATGAGTGCAAAGGGAATTAGAATACATATCGTAATCAAGGAATCAGGTGTAAAAAAACATCGCAGCGGTCGCTACGTTATTCCGGCGAATTCAGGTGCATAGCTCGTTACCCACCGTATAGTATTAAAATAAGCATAATGCCTTATGTACAACGTAATAAAAATAGTAAAATGCATCACTAAAATGTACGTTCAAATATACACAACGAATAGAACAGAGATCGATGAGCGAAATCGCTTGCTTCTTCGTTTTATTGGGCGCATAAGAAACTTAGTTACCAGCCTTCGCTTTTCCAACTTCGTCTATAGTCTTTTCCTCTCTGGAATTTATACGTTTATTTCTCAATGCACTTGTATAGTTGTATATTTGAAGATTTTTTATCATTCGATACTGTTACTAAATAAAAAGAACATCGAAATGAATGGAGTAGCACTAAATTTATATAAATTAATAATTTGTGATCGTAAATTCTTTCATAACTTTTGCAATATTTCGTCAATTAGTATAAACTTCAAATTAAATTGTCATTTGATTATCTAAAGAACGGAGCAGCATACATGTATTGGATGATGCGCCGGATTTTTGAGTGTTGTAACAAGTTATTCGATGTACCACTACTCCTATCGTTGATGTTTGCCAACGCCATTAATTAATGATATCTAAATTATCTAACTCTTGAAACTTTACTACAATATAAATTATTAAACTTTACATTTTACTCTACAAATCTAATCACATCCACAGTCTCACAAAGAACAATATCGATATTGATATCGACTTTATTGCGAATGTCGGCAAACTGTTTACTTACTGTGGAGAGGTCGGCAAAGTTTCTTTGCGCCCACATAACTTTTCTTGTTCGCTGAGGCAAAAAAAGTCAAGCTCCGCTTTTTGTTTTGCAGATATGTATAATTCGTTTCAATAAAACCTCTCTTGTTTTATGACCATACATAATAACGTACAGTCAATGAATAATATTTGTAACTCTTCGAAGGTTGAATGTCATATAATAAACTGCCACCATAAAATAAAAAGTTTTTGACCCTTTGATTTTAATTACAAAATGGGTCGGATATAAAATTCCTCAACCATAACGAAAGTTAAAAGAAAAAACTTTTCATTGCAGGAAACCCACGGAGTTGTAACGAATAAAAGCAAACAATGTTAAGTAAATCGTTAGAAATGGCGCAAAAAATTCAACAGATGCAGAGAAAAAGAGCAATAAATTAGCATTCATTGTGAATAACGCTTCGGATCAAGCGGTCTGTTTAAGCCAGAATTGCTAAAGCAACATTACCTGCAAAGCAAAGAACAACCACTTTGTTTTGCATTCGTTTCGAAAATTATGCTACATCGCGATTTTATTCACGAAATAGTTATTCTTCAGCTTTGCATTCACAATTGTATATTTACATATTGGTTAGGGTTTTATTTGTGAAAGGTTTTTATATTGCGTATGATTAATGTAGCCGGGGTGCCCGGGATCAGTATTGGTAATCTTTTCAATATTGTAAGTGCTGTTCAACCACATCTGAAAAAGGATATTGCTTTGTATTTATTACGCACAGTGCGAAATTTAACGTTTGACTCTTTCTTTTTGTGAAAATAACTAAAATTAACATAAAATTATACAAACATCGAAAGATAAAAACGCGAAAACCATTTGAAACTCTTGAGAGTATATTATAAATATTTATAGCAAGAATATAATAGTATTTTATGAAAGGTAACATGGCTTGTAACATGAATATTATGTATTGAAGACGCAATAATGCAGACTATGAGGTGTAACATGTCTCGGGGAAGTTGGGGATAAAGGTATATTACCTCTTATATGAAAATTTATTCGTTTAATACTTATTTTACCTTAACATTTTATTAACTGCTTATCAAATATAACTACATAGTTACATCTAGCCATGTAATAAAGTA